TTGTTCCTTCCATCTCCTCCCCACCACTCCCTTTATCTTTAATATTTGGTTCAAAGGTTACTTCTTCTCTGTGTGTCCTTCTCCTACCTGAGCAAAATTAATTACTTCCTCTTCTGCTCCAAGATCATAAACACCTTTGACAGCTAGTGTTATCATGGCATCACTACTTCTACATTACTCCTGAATCCTTCCCCTCCCCAAATACACAGGGTGAATAGGAATATCTATTTGTGCAGTCCTGCAGCCTTGGGTTTCTGTTCTTTGTAGGTTGTGGTCTGTTTATATAAAGAATATACTAATAACACAATGGAAGCTGTTTGTATAATCTCCATGTGATAAGTCCCACTAGCTCTATTATAGGTCAGATTGCTATTCTTGACTTTTGATTGCAGATTGAAATGATTAGCTATAACTGGAGAGAAAATTAAAAAACAATCACCACTATTATCTTTATCTAATATGCTTTCCATGGAGCAAGAATGTTGCATTTCAAGAAGGAAATCCTTTGCTTAATTTACTGTTTGCTTAGCATATTCTTTTTGAGCAAAATCCTAATTCTTTACTGTATTTGAAAAAAATGCCTTTTCACATTTCCTTTTGAACCATGTGACTATAAAACCAGTGGTTATTCTAAACCACCACCAACCAATAGAGATTTAATGTGAACCACAAACACAAGCCACATATATGATTTAAAAATTTTAGTAGCCAGATTTAAAATGTGGCAAGTAACAAATAAAATTATTTTGAACAATACATTATATGTAACCCAGTATATTTAAATATTATCATTTCAAGACATACTCAATACAACATACATTAATATAAAGTTGTATGTTCATTTTCATATGAAGTCTTTGAAGTTCACTGTGTGTTTTATCCTTACAGCGTATCTCGATTGAAACCTAAGTGGCTTATCCCTACCACAATGGGCAGTGTAAATCGGGTCAGTTGCCATTCCTCGAGTCTTTTCTCTGTGCTGTGGACTTTGCCTGCATCCTTTTCATCAGTTCTCACAATTCTGCAGTTGGTGCCATCGGGCTCATTTTATAGATGAACAAACTGGCACTTAAAGAGTTTATGTTGTCTGAGTATTGCTATTGTGTATAGCAGACTTGGGACCAGGTCATAAGACTTTGACTTCAAAATAATGCACTGAACCAAAATGAGAGCAATGGGAAAAGACGATGTGACAAATTCCAAGACATTTTTATGGGAGATGTTGAAGATTAGACACAGGGATGAGGCTCTAACAAACAGCAGGTCACAAGGTGACAGGAAGCACATTTGAAAGAAGGAAACATTCTAAACCAAATGTGGAGGAAATGGGCAGGATTAGTTTACCAAGCGAGACACAGCCCCCCTATCCCTCATCGCTCATTTATTCCCTGCCTGGATGCTTGTGTGGCAACCGCTGGATTGCCACACACTTAGAACAGAGCAGCTTCTCTTCCTTCCATTTTAAACTTCCATCTGCTACATGGCATTTGGGTAAAAGTATATGCTATGGTGACTGTGCTGAATTAAGGCCAGAGTCTGTGAACAATCCTGATGCCATGGCTTTGTTATAAAGGTCTGCCAAATATTATCCTGGTGTCATGGATTATACAAACGTGCACAAATGGCAGTTTCCTCCTTTTCCTTCATACAGTGTTAAAAATGAGTAAAATATGTTTGCCATGCATTTCCCCAGTGCTTGGGGGACTCAGTGAACTCATTTTAAGTTTCCATGTCTTTATAAAAATGTTTTGTTTTTACTGAAACATGTTTTTGATCAAGAACATAATTTCAGGATTGCGTGTGTGTTTCTGGAACAATTATGTATGTGGAACAAGTGCATAGACGAGGGCTTAGACTCCAGTGACCCATCCCAGGATGGGAGAGCCTTGAGTTCTAACCTCAGCCTGACATAACTCATTAGATGATCTCAAAAGAAGGAACAACTTTTGCCTTTACTAACCAATCTCCTGCCCTCTTTCTGTCTCTTATTTCTGACTTTGAAGAACTAGAAATGATCACAATCATTTTTGTCATGCTGTACAGAAATTTAAATTTTAAATGCATAAAATGTCAAGCTTCAGACAAGCTTCACAACAGAAAATTTTCTACATTTTTAATGGGTGGCTCATTTTTTCAGATGTACTAGCTGAATATTGTCCTACTTACCCAACCCATATTGTGCAAGGAAGAGAGAAAGAGATAAAATTCCTATAATTCTAGTACTAATCACCATAATAATTTATGCTTAAGAAGCACTAGATCCTTTATGCTTTACACACTTCTGATTTAATTGTGATGACAAATGAGGTAGCAGAGTCCCATCCAGGGACCCAATCCTGTTGGTTTCCAACAAAGGTTGGGTGTGGACACTTGCCCCAGACATCAAACAGAAAAGTACTGGTGGTAAAGTAAGAAAGAAATTTAACCAATACAACCATAGTGGGTATATTTCAATCTAGCATCTCAGTTCATCTTAGGGGCACTGACATGAGCCTCAGGTCTAAGTAGAGGAAAAATTGGATCAAGGAGTGAGAGGGATGTATGAGTAAGCAGTGTTGGTCAAATTGTGGTCTGATTGGTCACCGTATCAGTCTTGGTTCTCAAAGTGACTCCAAGTCCTTATCACTGGAGGAAAAAATCCAGGTCCAGTGAGGTGATTGTTTATGCTTGGAGGGAGGCAGCCTCAGTTTCCCTCATGGGGTAATTGCTCCCATTTAGAGGTGATCACATCATGAGGCAATCTTTTCCTTCACTGCTCCTGGAATCCAAGGTGAATGCAGGTTTAGGACAATGACCTCAGGCACCTTTTCCAGCAGAGGTCTGGAACAGGACATTGTAAAAGCTGACAGTAAAGTACCTATGTGGCTCTTATCTTTGTGCCTTCAGCCTTGAAGGAGGATGAGATAGTTCAGATAAATTTAGGGCTAATCAACCTGTATCACCAGTTTTTAGACAGACACTCCTTAAGTCATTAACTTGCCTGTCAGTAGAGTAGAGCAAGAATCTGACCCAAAGTAAAAGAAACAGACATAAAAATTAAGGCAGAGGTACGAGGCTTTCTTTTGCTATTAGTTACCTTATGGGCTCAAGTGAGAAGTCAGTGCTTTTTAGCAAAAGCATTTCTAAGTTCCTTTTGTAATATTATCTCCATTTCATGAATGAGAACAAAATTAACAAGCACCTGAGCTACTATACTTTTTTTTTTTTTAGCGTACTGGTGTTTGAACTCAGGGCTTACACTTTGAGCTATTCCACCAGCCCTTTTTTTGTGATGGGTTTTTTTCCAGGTAAGGTCTCAGAATTATTTGCCTGGGCCAACTTTGAACCACAATCCTCCTATCTCTGCCCCCTGAGTAGCTAGGATTACAGGCCTCACACTTGCTAGAGGTCTACCTCTTGAGCCACAATAATCTGGTTTTTGTTTGTTTTCCATGTGTGGTACTGAGGTTTGAACTCAAGCTTGCTAGGCAGGTGCTCTACCACTTGAGCCATTTCACCAGTTCGAACTAGCCTTAAATCAAGGTGAGTCTAAAGCCTCAGAAAGGAAGCCATCAGTACTTTCTTGAATTTGTGGATAGGTTTCAGTAGTCCCAGAACTCTTAGTGCCCCCCCACACACTAAGTTTACTGCTGTATTAGAATTTCTATGTGTTTATGATGCTTCAGTAAAGGAAAGAACTAATTAGCAAAAAATCCTTTGTTGTAATCTTTTTCTGGCTTTTAAATTTATTCCTCTTTGCTCTTCATTTTTCCCCCTACTAGGAATCTTAAAAAACAAGAGTCTGCATAATTTTTGTTTTGTATTATTTTTTAAATTGAAGTAGAATTCAAAAAACATGAAATTAACTATTTTAACGTAAATAATAAAGTGGCAATTAATACTTTTACAATGTTGTCCAGCCATGAATTGTATCTAGTTCCAAAATATTTCCATCATCCCAAAGTAAAACCCCATAATCATTAGGGAATGTCTTCTCATTCTCTCTAGCCTCCATTCCCCAACAAACCCTGATCTGTACCTATCTCTACAGACTTAACTATTTTAGATAGTTCTTGTAAAAGAAATTAATATATGACCTTCTGCATCTGTTTTCTTTCATTTAGCACAATGTTTTCAAGGTTCATCTACATTACAGCATGTTTGAGTATTCATTTTTTTCCAAACAATAATAGTCTGTTTTGTAGACATACGACAGTGTGTTTATCTGTTCATCCACTGATGGTCATTTGAGTTGATTTCTGCCTTTTGGCTATTGTGAATGTGAGTGCCTATCTTCCGTTTATTAGGAGTTGTTGAATCATGTAGTAATTCTATGTTTAAATTTTCTAGGAACTACCAAGCCGTTTTCCACAGTAGCTGAACAACTTTACATCTATACTAGTAATGAGAGAGAGTTCCAATTTCTCCACATCCTCAGACTTTCTGGGCATTTTTGTTTGTTTGCTTGCTTGTTTTTTATACCATATTAGCATATATCAAAGTATACACAATAGTAGTTTTGATTTTATTTCCTAATAATTAAAGATTTTCAGCATCTTATCATAGCTTATTGGCCATTTATATATTTTCTTCAGGCTTATGTCTATGCAGGAACTTTGACCCTATTTTATTAGTATTTTGTTGGTTTAACTACTATTTGTGTACTCTTATTATGGTATTAAACTTATCATATATGGCTAGCAAATATTTTAATTCATTATGTAGAGTGTCTTTTCACTTTCTTGATAATGTTCTTTGACATGTAAATTTAAATTTTGGAAAATTTAGTTTATCAATAAATGTTTTGATAAATATTTTTATTTGATCACTAACCCTTTTATTGTCATATTTAGGAATCCATCATCAAATCCAAGATCATGAAGATTTACTCCCGTATTTTCTCCTAAGAACATTATGGTTTTAGCTCTTATATTTAGGGTCCTAATTTATTTTGCATTTTTTAAATGTGGTATGAAGTAAGGGTCTTGTTGACTTCTATTTACTTTTTTTTTCCTTTCTAGGAACTCTTGAATGCAAGGGATTACATATTTTTAATCTGACTTCTCTAACCAAGTCTGAAAACATTTTGTCTGCTACACTGTATTTCTATATTGGAGAGCTAAACATCAACCTGAGTTGTCCAGTGTCCCAAGGATGCTCACATCATCCTCAGAGAAAACACATTCAGATAGATCTCTCTGCATGGATCCTTAAATCTAGTCAAAACCAAAGTCAGCTCCTGGGTCATCTGTCAGTAAATGTAGTCAAATCTCATCGAGACATCATGTCCTGGTTATCTAAAGACATCACTCAGCTCTTGAAGAAGGCCAAGGAAAATGATGAGTTCCTTATAGGATTTAACATAACGTCCAAAGCATATGAGCTGCCAAAGGGGTTGTTACCATTTCCAGAGCCTTATATATTGGTGTATGCTAATGATGCTGCCATTTCTGAACCAGAAAGTGTGGTGTCAAGCTTCCAGGGACACCGAAATTTCCTCACTGGAACTGTGCCAAAACTGGATAGCCACATCAGAGCTGCCCTTTCTGCTGAACGAAGGAAAAAGCGCTCTACTGGGATCTTGTTGCCTCTGCAGAACAATGAGCTACCAGGGGCAGAGTATCAGTACAAGGAGGATGGAGTATGGGAGGAGAGAAAGCCCTACAAGACCCTTCAAACTCAGCCCATGGAGAAGGGTAAGAACAAAAAGAAACAAAGGAAAGGACCTCACCAGAAGAGCCAGACACTCCAGTTTGATGAACAGACCCTGAAGAAGGCAAGAAGAAAGCAGTGGATTGAACCTCGGAATTGTGCCAGGAGATACCTTAAAGTAGATTTTGCAGATATTGGCTGGAGTGAATGGATTATCTCACCCAAGTCTTTTGATGCTTATTATTGTTCCGGAGCTTGCCAGTTCCCCATGCCAAAGGTAGCCATTATTCTTTCCCCTGTACTTACTTCCTATTTCTGCAGGGTAGAAAGGCAAACTGAGTAAAGTGAATGCGTATGTGTGTGTGCGTGTGTGTGTGTGTGAGAGACACTTATTTACTACATTCTAAAGTATGATAGGTTATGTGATTATGCTTGGCTTTTCTGTAATGGTTGCTAAAGTAAGATGAGGTCAGCAGTTGTATGAAGGATATGAAACGTTTTCATGTTATATATAAAGTATGCATTTTATGTTACTTCCAAATGGTGCATTTTTAGCTATATGATCATGTGTGAATCTGTACGTGTCAGCAGTAAGCAAGCCCCAGGTTACCACCTGGTGATCACTGGGGGACATTCAGGGAATTAGTGAATATTGTGAAAGCAAGGAGCTATTGGGATTGATATCCTTAGGCATAACAGCTTTTTTGGTTAGTAGTTCCTTGTGAGATGAGTTGTTCCCGCAGAGGTCAGGATCAGGGTTTGGCTAGGTAAACTGGCCTAATGAAATCCACCAGATGCTTATTTCATTTGCTTCCCTGCAAAACATCAAAAAAGAAGGCAAAATAGGATTTGATGAATCTGTAAACTTCTTCCAGGTTCAACCATTTCTTCCATTTTAACCTGTCAGAAATTACCTATGTCTATTCCAAAATCAGTGAGAACTGTATTTTATCATATTGGTACTCAATATTCTGACAAACATTTTCAGAAGCCTTTCCAACCCCACCTCTATCTTGCAAGGCAAGTTCAAGTGACAGTTCACTTTGAACGTAGAGTATAAATAGTACACTGTATAGCAAAATACAGTCATGCCCTCCAGCATTTGGTTAAGCTTATTTCTGTACATCCATTCTCATTTTGAAAGAATTTGAATTTCTATTATACAATAAAAATGGACTCAAGAAACAGAATTCTTAAAGGAAAAAATAAAAGGTCTCAGGGTTGTTTTGTGATTTTTTTTTTAATTTTTGCAGAACTTGAATGAATTTTTGTTATTGTTTGATAATAAAGAAGAAAGATCTTTACCTCCAAGAGTGACCAATTTCTGCTCATATGAGCATTGGATAACATACATATAAAAGCAAAGCCTAATTGCACAAGACCTGATGAACCTTAGGTCCAGAAACTTGATTGAAATCCCATCTTTCTTGTTAGAATGTCTCAGAAAGATGAGCTTTTACATTTTCTAAGATCTTGTCTTTTTTGATGATTTCATGTTTTGTAAACTCAAACACAAAGTAAGGATTGTATACACTTCCATGTATATGTATACACTTTGAAATATATATATATATATATATATATATATATATATATATACTTCTTTAAAGGTTAACTCCACACACAAAAAGATGACAAATGTAATAAGCAGAGATGAATCATTACTTTACAGCATGGCTTGCCTTGTGGTATTGAGAGGCAGAAATGGATTCAAAATCTATTTTTAAGTCCAGGATGACAGGCTTTAGGTGGATCTTGGGGTTTACCAAATAATTTCTCCCATTTTCATAAGCTGTAATTTCTCCTGGGTAGCCTGAGGAAGAAGTTTTTCTATTCTCTCTGGACTCCAGCTTTCAAGCTCCAGAAAGCAATACTAATGTGAAAATATTCAATTGGTTCAAACTCTGGACAAACTGGCTTAGTCTCTTCCCCATTACAATTGCTCCCAACTGTCCCCCATTCATCTTGGCTCTACCTACTTTTACTATTTATTAGTCCTCTGTTACTTCAGAAGAGCTTCACTATAGTTCCCAGTATCTAAAGAATCATAATTTGAAATCTAATGAAGGATGAGTTAAGAATAGCAGAGATAGATGTTGGTGCAGCAGAATAATTAAATATGAATGCTTGGTCATAGTAGGGCTTCTTAAGCCTTGATGGGCTTTTAAACTTCCTGGAATCATATTAATATGCAAGTTCTGATCCAGTGGCTATGCAGGTAGAGTCTAAGAATCTGCAGATCTAACAAGCTCTGAAGTGGTACAAAGGCTACTAACTTATAGATTGCACTTGGAGCAGCAACACTGAGAGCTGAATACTTTTGACTCAAATCTTGGTTCCACCACTTACCAGCACTGGTTCTTTGGATAAGTTATTCAAACTCTCTACCTGTTAGTTTTATCCTCTTTAAAATTTTAGGGTAAAATACCAATAAAAACAATAGTGCCTACACAATAAAAATGGGGAAATGAGACAGTAGTATATGTAGTAATCACACAGTAAATATTTGCCATTGGCATTACTAATGGCTGTTGCAGAGACTGAGGAAGATAGAAAATGAGCACCAGAGACTGAAGAAAGACTACATAAGGAAAGGGAGCAAGAAAATGAAAGCTTTAAGGTGAGAAAATGTTTTGCAAGTGTTTCTAGTCCCTTTTCAAACATCACAAAGCTGAAAATAGTATTCTCCCAAGGGCTCAATAGCCTATGAGTTCTTCCAGTGAGGTTCCATTAGAGAATCAGGACAGCATCCATTGCAGCAACTGGACTCATCATAATATTTGTTAAAACTTGGAATGGCATCAGAGCTCCAGGGAGACATAACAGGGATAAGTATGGAGTTTTCTCTCTGAGCTTGAGCTTTCCTTCTGCCAAGTTGAGAGTGGAAGTTTGGCTGTTACAGAGTTCTCAATCTCTCATCACCTTGTGTGGATCTGCTTAACTTTTAAAGCTTTCTAGTGGCTCCCTTTAAGTCTTTAAGGCTTTGTACCTTTCAAGTGGTACAATGAGCAAAAGAATGGGAAGCATGAAGTAAAGGGAAGGCATAGTTAGTAAGTATTTCTATTAGCACAGTGTCCAGTAGGGCAACCAGAGTGAACCATGTAAATAAAAAGTATAGTTAAACCAACAGAGGGAAATGAAAGTTTCTGACCAGATCAATACATCACATATGGAATAACTGACGTGCCAAAGAACTTTCAGACTTCACATACACATTTTGCCCAAGAGGAACATTCTCCCAGACCAGACTCTTCTGTTGGCCCTCCTGTTTTTGGCCTCCTGGGCAAAAGCCTGCTCTATATGGTGGGGCTCTTCGTCTGCAAAAATTGACAACCTGCTTTGTAATTCAGAACAGCTGTGCTCTGCCTTTCCCAGATTCCAGGCTTTGCCCTTTCACTGATTCCAATTAGATAGTTTCTGGGCCATCACACCCATGTGGGCTGGACTGGAGCAAAACCTCATGGCCCAGGTCAAGAATGAAGGCTCTTAGCCGATGACATACTCTCCCCTGCTAATGCACTTGTAATCAAATTCAACTCAAAGACATACACAGCTTGGCAGGTGCAGCCCTGACCACTGTAGATTTCATTCACAGACACAGCACTTTGGATTTTTCTGATTTCTAGCCCTTAGGGCCAATCTGTTCTCCGAGAGAGACTCTTGGAATTCTGCCATAAGATGAAAAATACCCATATGGCTAAAGCCAAGTTCTACACCTCTGCCTCCCTCACCACCTTAGCAGAGATGGAAAACAGAAATTTCAAATGAAAATGATTGAGCCATTGTTGCTGACAGAGATCCAAGAAACTAACAACGGTTAGAGGAATGAAGTTATTTTTGCATGGAATTGTGCAAAAGCTAGGAATAGCAAAGATATAGACTTAGGCAGCAAATAATCAAAATACTTTGAACCAAGTATCCTACATAAAAAATTTCTCATTTGATGAGTTCAAAATGATACAATCTCAATGAATTTCTTGACTTTGCCAGTTCTAATCTCTTGGTGATGAAGATGAACACTAAACACATTGTCTTAATCTATTGAATTCCCTAAGTAAGAAAAAATTATCTGAACTAATATTAAAGACATGTTTCACATTCCTTAAAAAGAGAGAGTGACAAGGGAAAAAGTGCAGATTTGCATTTGTGGTTGATATATTTTTTAAGTTTGTTACAGAGAGTCATGAGAAACATGATCTGAACTCAAAAACAAATAGAAATTATTGACTGATAACATGTTTCACACAAGCAAATTAACAGCACGGGTCACTTGTGCATGACATAATTATTCCTAGTAAAGGCAGCTCGGTCAGAGGATTCTCCATAATGAAAGCAAAGGGAAACACCCTAGTAATCTGAGATTTTTGTTAGTTCATATTAGTTCCTGATAAGAAACACCAACCCCCAAATCAAGGGATTGTGCCTAATTCCAGTGAGTCCATGAGAGACTATTCATACACTCATAGTTTGTGAATCCATCATTTCTGAGTTGGAGCTTTAAAAAGAGGACAGGAATTTTCCTAGGAAACACCCACAAATATTTTCCGTATCTACACCAGGTCATTTGCACGGAATATTTTATTTTTATTGATGGGAATTATTTTCACAAAATAGGTACAGCAGAGGGTTTGCTTTTTCTTTCATTTCACCCATTTAACAAATATTTTGTCAGTGTCCAGAGCACACACTGTTCTAGGCACTGAGGACAAACAATGCTTGAGCAACGTATTTATTGCTCAAGTATTTATTAATCAAGTCAATTGACTTTTTATGAATTGTAAATATTATAGAGGTCATCGAACATTACCAATAACAGAATAATGTCAGAAAATCTGGTTTAAAAATCTTTTGGGTGGGGTCATGGAAAGCTGTTTGGATGATTGTGTCTTTAGAATAGCTTTAAATCAATGGAGAAAAATAGATGGAACAAAAGTTCTTTTTAGAAATTACCAATACTGATGGAATAATAAACAATGGCTTTTGACTTCTATGGTACAATCCTGATGACAGTTTGTATAAAGTACACATATTTTGTGGAGAGTTTTGATTTTTGTTAGTCCATATTTAGTTATACAGAATAATGAGTCTCATTATGACATTTTAACACATGCATACAACTTGCTTTGATCATATCTACCCCCTCTTACCCTCCCTTGCTCCTCTCCTCTCTCCCCTATTCTCTTTCCTTTTCTCTAATAGTCCCCCTATAAAGTACATATACTTTTGATGATGGGGGCATAAATATGCAAAGTAGAAGAGCCTGATCTTTGCAATCAATTAAAGTGAATTAACTGAAAGTTAACTATTCTTTATGTATATACAGTCTCTAGGAACAGAAAGAATGGTACAAATCAGATTTTCCCTTTATCTGCCAAAAAGGATCCTCTGTTCCTTTTCTTTTTTCCTTTTTTACAATATGCCAGATTCTATATTATTTTCTTCTTCTTCTTTCCCTTGTATCTATCTTTCATATCTTAACTTATCCTTGTTCTCTGTGCTGGAGTTTCAGGAGTTTGAAATTAAAATCCCAGTTCATGGGGGCAAGGGTGCCTCTGAGCTATACGAAATGTCTCAGAATCCTAAAATTATAGCCAGACTTTTGGGTTAAATCCTATTCCTGACTTGATTTGGTCTCTACAAAATCCCCCTTTTTTTCATGCTGGGGATCAAACCTAGGCCCTCACACATGCTAGGCAAGTGTTCTACCACTGAGCCATACTCCTAACCCTTAAATTTATATTTCAAAATGTGTTTAATACAAAACTAATTTCATCTACATAAGACAGACATTGATGAGAACTGATGTTGAAAAGTGTGACTTTTGTTCTGGAGTTCTTTGGACCATTCTGGCACTACTTAACATCCTGGGCTTAGAATATTGACTCCTCCTCCAATGAATGCTTTTATGGAGAACAGAGCTGTATGGGACTTTATAAGTAAAACCATATGTTTCACATGGATGCTAATGGTCCCATTTGGCATTTTCTCAGGGAAGAGATTGAACCCAGACTTCTTTGGTCAGACCTCTGACATCCATGGGATAACCTTACACCCCCTAATTTATTCCCAGAGGACACAGTCCACTCTTAGAATGCTATCAAGCTTAAGTCTAAACCCATGGACCAACGGTGACCCCCCCAGTGGTCAATAGTGTAGTCTTTTTTAACTCCAATTTGTGTTTCTGAGAGTTGAATAATTGCATTAGTGAAATAGTAACCATCCAATTCATCCTCTTGGCAACTGTTACCTGAATAATCCAATGCCCCTCTGCCCTGCTTAGTTCTATTTGAACTACAATGCATAAATACCACTATATCAGAGATAACAATTTTCTCTCTGTTAAATAGGATGTTTGGTTTTGTTTTATTTATTTATTTATTTATTTTAGCTTGAACTCAAAGCTTTGTGCTTGCTAGGCAAGTATTCTACTGCTTGATTCATGCATCCAGCCCTTCCTCCCCCATCCCTCTGGTTATTTTGGAAATAAGGTTTTGCTTTTTGCCCAGGCTGGCCTGGACCTCAATCCTCCTATTTTATGATTTCTACCATACCTGGAATGAAAGATACACATCACCTCACACAGCTTTTTTTCCTGTTGAGATAGAGTCTTGGTTCTTGGGACTTTTTTTCTGTCCAGGCTGGCCTAAAACTGTGATCCTCTCAATCTCAGCCTCCCAAGTAGTTAGAATTATAGGCACAAGCCAGTGCCAAGCTAGAGTTCTTTATAATTAACATAGCATCAAGACCAAAACTTTCATTGTTGCAATCCTGTTATTGAAAACCTTAGAGAATCTACTTATCAATGGTGGTTTTGTTTAGAAGGTACTAGCATAAAATTCCTGGAACATAGCAGGCACTTAATAGTGATAATCAGTTTGGGGTGGCTGGATAGGAGGTTGGGCTGAATGTGCAATGATGCAGGGTTTTCTTGAGAATTCTTGGAACAAATTCATATAAGTGTAATGAGGACTGAGCAGAGGGAAAGCGGTTCCACCTAACACATATGTTTTTCTCTTGTTTTTTTTTCTAGTCTTTGAAGCCGTCAAACCATGCTACCATCCAAAGCATAGTGAGAGCTGTGGGAGTTGTTCCTGGGATTCCTGAGCCTTGCTGTGTGCCAGAAAAGATGTCCTCTCTCAGCATCTTATTTTTTGATGAAAATAAGAACGTAGTGCTTAAAGTGTATCCTAACATGACTGTTGAATCCTGCGCTTGCAGATAACTTGGAAAAGAACTCATTTGAATACTTAATTCAATCATTAGTTTATTTTTATGGACTTTTTTTTGCACTGCCAATGCATTTTGTCCCAAAAGATTGTTTTTTAATAGTCTGAAGAGAAGGAACAAATAGATTGAAAATTTCCACCAAGCAGAACTGGACTGTATTTGTTTCTGAATGTAACCAAAAGCAATATTTGGTAAATGTGGACATCTATTTCTTTTAATCACAAAAGAAAAATTATCACACAAGCTGTTTGTCAAACTGTTAGCAAACACAGTGATTTATTTTCGTAATGGGATTTTGAATTAGATTGGAAAACCGTGAGAGCTTATCACTTATCTCTGCTCATCTAATGACAAAGAGGAATTAAAAAGTAATTTCATGTTTTTAAGTAGGCTTATGACCTCAGATTCCTGAGAAACTCAGCAAGTGCTAAAATGTCCAGTCAATCTCGATGTTTATTTTAAAAGTTTATGAGACTTGCTTACCCTTGATTTTTTTTCCACAAATCATTGTGTGAGTTGAGTGTGTGCTGAGTGTTAGTGTGTGTGAACACATGCCAAATACCTGTGCCCTCTGTAAGAAAGTTCATTTGATCTGGTTCTATAACTCAGCTTACACAAGATTCTGTTTTTTTTAAATTTTATAGTCTAACAAGCAACATTCACTTACATGAACTTTACCAAAAATGACAGAATTATATGCAAAGAGTGACAACCTGACCCAACCATTTATTTGGAAATACAGGTGTTTTCATTTCATTGCCCCTCAGAAAAAAGGAACCAGCAACTCAGTTTTTGAAAACCCAGATGTAATTCTTCTTCTGTACTTCTTTTTTTATAAGTATTTTTACTTGTTTTTCTAAAATGAATTCAAAAATCCTTTCTGAAGCCATTAAATGTTTAGCTCTCTTGCTATTCCTTTCCTTCCTGTGAAGTTACCCATAAATATTGAGGCCTCAAAACAGATGGATTATTACAGATCTCTTTAAATGACCAACTTAATTACAATCATATATTGGATATCATTCTTCAACCACATCCAGGTTCAGGCATTCTTCACATAGATCAGGGCTTTTGTCTCAGTCATGGAATCTACACTTCGGTAGAGCTCACTAAAAAAAGTATCCACCAGGATAGGGAATCAAATACAGACACTGGTTTGTTTTTTCCATTTTCATTCATCACAAATATCTTCTACTTTTGCCCTTGAAAATTATTTTAAAAATATTTCACTCACGTATTCACTTGGGAAGTAGAACTGATTTCAGGCCATGGATGGTCATTTATGTTGTATGTGTGTTTAGTCCTCATCTTAGGTCAGTCTCAGCTGGTGATTAAAAATAAGTGAGCTGTTTCAGAAGATGTGCAATATCAGAAGATAAGGGATTTTATTCCATCTCTGCCTGAGCCTATCTATGGTGGTTCAGTCATCTAATAAATATTTATTGAGCATCAATTTTGTGAAAGGCACTGTGTTAACTGTGTGTCTTAAGTGTTAACTGTGTGTCTTAAGTGTCCTCTGTGGTACAATTAAGAGACTGACTACTTGAGTTGGATGGCCCTTTTGGAGCTGAAGGTTGGATTTCTAACAAGCTATTTCATACATATCTTCCTTGAAGGGATGATAGTGATAGGTATAAAGGCACTGCAAACATCTCTGTTCAGAAGCCAAATGCAGGAGCAGCATTTGTGTTTGTAAATGAGTGTAGCCTTCTCTGGTCTAAGTGGTATTTTATTGGAAGCCTATTAAAAGAAGATTGTCATGAAAAAAAGATCTTTGCCACTTCTGAAGTACACAAGAATTGGTGTGGATAAGTGTTACCTCTGAATGAGACATACAAGTTCGAAAAAATGAATTGTCTGGTGACTAAGCTGCTGGCTTTCTTCTACTGCATTTTTTGTTTTAGTAGCATAAAGTTAAAGATTCAAACTGAGATAGGGACAAAATTACATTGCAATAATTTTTTTTACAAATTTGAAAGCAAAATCATAAGATCGAAATGGGCCAAGGTGGCTGTCATACACTGGTCATACTGTCTTTCAACAAAGAAAATTTATTTTTCCTAGGAAGATTTGATAGAATTCTTAATTTAGTTTTTCCTAAAGTTGTATCAGCCAAAATCTCTGGCAATTCTTAGTCTTACTGCTCAGCTTTCTATATACAAATATCTGTCATTTTTCTTAATTTGAATCAGTGCCTGCTTGTCATAGATTAAATCCTATGATGGCCAAAAAGTCCTCTAAATAATAAAAATTTTCAAGCATCAACTAATTATGACTTTATGTTAAGTAGTAATTGATATAAAAAAATTAACCCACAGTGAACGAGCTTTAGCAATGGAAATAAATTTCGCTAGTAGTTATCTCTGGGTAACTTTTCAACTTCTACTGAATGAATAACATAGTAGGTTACTAATGGAAAAAGTTTTTATTCCCAGAGAACAAATAAGTACTAATTTTAAATACTGGGGGCAGAAATAAATGCACTATCATCTAATTAATAAAAATATGTAAAATAAAAAGTTAAATAAGTGCCTATTTTTCAATTTGTTAGGTACTAATTTCTATACACTTCCTACATGGCCTTTTGGAAAATCTGATAATAAATTGACATTAATGAGAAGGAAGTTACATTTATAAATGCCATTTCTTAAATCAAGTGGCCCTCCTCCCTCTCCAGCCACTGCCCTAGCCATTCCAGTCCCCAGTATGGGACACACACACACGTTATTGAAAAAACAAATTCTTTTTACAATAACTGCTTCTAGAATTCCACTTAAGGTACTACCAATGTCAATACACCATTTTAAGAATACTTCGTTGTAATCCGTGTAAATAATATACAATTTATAGAATTTGGGGTTGTATAATATAAACTGGAAGATTGGATTCTTCAAATCTCGGGGCTACAGTATTCCAGGTTAATTTTTATATTCACCTACTCTATATTAACGATGATCATATTCATTAAGATAAGGTTTTTACCTTAATATTTATGTATAAAACTCATACATCCCATTTAATATTTTCATAGGCAACCATACATGTGTAATACTACCATCTGGCTGGCATACAAGTTTTGACGCAATTACATTCTGCAGTTTTCTCTTGCTCTTTTCACTTTTCTCTGTGTTAACAAGTGACTAATGCCTGGACATTGACTTCCTGTAGAATCAAGGTGGAGTTAGAGAATACCTGTGCACACCTGATGTGTAATATTAAGTAGGAAATTAAGAATTCTTGGGTAAGTCTGACTTTTCTGCATAGCTTTTCTTCCTTTGAGAATTGTATTTTAATGTAGTTTTTAAGTGATAAAATGACCCCATGTTTCTAAAAACTATGCCTTCCCTTCAATTTTTCATACTAGTTTCTATAAAGGTTTTAGTGGAGAATTTAATGCTTGTACAGTTAATGGCAATTTAAAATATATATATTATATGTATATGGAAAAACTTTAAAGATGCTTTTAATTTATTTAATAACTGTTGCCTTCCTATATTGGTAAGAAGTTTCATCCTTAGAAGTTGAGAAAAACTTCTTTATTACTATAGTTCATAGAAGCAAAATGAAATTTGGTTGTTTAGTTAAATCCACTTAGAGAGTGTATCACAGTGAAACTGTGAGTGAAACTGTGAGAGACACTTCACTACTGATGTATTAAGCTTTGCTGAGTTTGTATCATTTTCCTCAAATAATGAAGAGCTTTTCATTATACATTATGGAAATAAAAATTGCTTGACTGAACATTTTTCTGTTATTTTCTGTTCACTGGGAATGACTTTCTAAAATGTTGTCAACCATGCTGCATTCAAAAAGAGGTAAATAAGCTTGGGCACAAGTTGGACATTTTCAAATCATAAATGGAGAATCATAACCTATTATCAACATAACATGATCCACATTAGAAGCAGTATTGAAATACCCACAAATCACCCTGTCCCTTCCCCTGATGCCCCAGCGTCCCCCATTTACATTCATGTCCCATTATTATTATCAACATCATTGTTTTAGAAGCTCTGTACTTGGTACTTAAACAGTTTTTAAAAAATAATTCCTGAATGTCTGATTCACTAGTTCAGTAATTTTATTTCTGTAGTAATTTTTACCATATTCTGTCCATTTTAGAATGATAAAGATCTAAACTTAATCAAATTAATTAATTTAACTCCCTAGCTTTGCCAACACTGACCCAGCTTCTTCAGGTGCCTACCTTTGTTATGTATCAGCAACCCACTGTGCTGATGGGTTTAGCTCCTAAAGGGGACATGGTAAGTAGACATCCAAATAGGATACGACAGCATTTCATCACTTGAAAATGGGAAGACTGAATAAGATTAATGACATTAATTGATACTAACTAGGCCTTTATTCTGTTTGTGCTTGGAGAAATCACATGTATTATCTCATTAAATCTTGCATGACCATATGAGGCAGGAATTTTATTGCCTCGTTTTATATGTGAGATAAATGAGACATTAAGAGGCTAAGGAATTTTGCTCAAGATGATCTCTCAAAGTGCCTTATAGTTTCAAAATGGAATGACTTTTAGTTAAACATTACAGTTTTAATAGAAATATATTTAAAAAGTGAAAATAACATGAAAACACATTTTATTTCTTAACCTCAAGTCACATTTTTCCTTAACAGGAAATTACAGACTTTGTGTACCTCTGAGGAATTCATGGGATCCTCATACATCAGAGCAGCTGACTCAGTGATAAATGAGTACTCTAAGGGAGTCACAGTAGTCACTGTAACTGCCCCAGTTGTCATGCCAGAGAAGTGTTTTGAAATACTGTTTAGGAGTGGTCCTTTATAGATATTAGAAGGTTGGATGGAGCTTAGGATTGATAATAGGCACCATGAACACACTTCCACATCATTCTGGAAGTTATGGTTACCAAAAAATACACATTGTGTAAAACCCTATTTTATTGGTAGAGATGTGTTTGATAACATAAAGCATCAGAGTTAAAATGGTCAACAGTCTCAGAACTGAAAGTCAGCTATCTATAACTATT